CTACAGGGACATACTTCACTGAAAATTTAGTAAAAGATTTACTCAAAACTCTGCATTTTCCATCCATGTGAAGCCATTTTAATATTTTTTGATTAATAAAACAACATAAAATTAGTATTTTATGAAGGTAGAACACTGAAAACCAAACTTTAAACTGAACTTTGTCTGAGATCAGAACTGAAACTTTCAGCATCCTTATTTTGTTTTCTATTTACAAACACTGAGCACCAGCATTTAGTTTTGACTGCATCATAATACTTTTATGATGAAATATCCTCTGCACCACATAACACCTCATGTGGTCACAAAGCAGCTGAGAAACCCACAGAAGAAGTTCATAAACTTGAGAAACCAGTGATTTTTCTACAGACTAAATCAACTGTACTCTGATAAAAAGTTATGAATTTTTTTTTTTGCAGCCCCATCTTTGGTGCCTCKTAGATAGATGGCGCCCTTAGCACTTGCCTATACTACCTATGCCTTGGACCAGTCCTGTTTAGATTAAATAAATTGTGTGTTTTATTTCAGGGTATTTCAGTCAGATCTCCACTTTAGCTGATGTGCAGGAGAATGTGATGAGGTATCTTCATGTCATGAGTCGTCCAAAGGTCATCGACCACGAACACGACACGGTTTGGACAGAAGCTTACGTGGACAGTGCTGTGAGTATGAAATGCTGCTCAAACTGTTTGAAGCCAGATATAAGTTGGTGGGAAACCTTTTCACATTCCTGTTATCGTGGTCAAGCATGCTCAAAGATCTAGCAGAGATATTTTACAGTCAGGTACTAATGCTCAGGAAAACTTCAATGTTGTTTGTGGTGTTGTTTGTGCCGTAAAGTCCACATTCGTGTGCAGATCTGCTCTCTCATCATTATTCTTTATGCTCCCTTTAATGATTTCTGATTATGAGCTTCATTAATCTACATCCCCCCTGCTACTCCCCCCAACTCCTTTTCATGCGCGCATCTGTGCTCCAAACACTTCCCTTTAATTCACTGACAATTCAATCTTTATGTGTCTTTCCTTCCCTGTCAGCTTACTCACGCATATAAGGTAAATATCTCATCTGCATGTTTTATTTGTTGTCTAAAGGCCCTCTGGAGACAGTTTGGAAGCACTGAAGGACCAGTGATGAGATTTAGGTTTAGATTTAGGCTCTGTGGACCATATTGTAGAAAGCAGAAGTGACTTGAGAGGTTAAATTATTAAACGTCTGTCACATTTTAGTATTTCCCAGGAAGATTTGACATTTTTTTGAGGTTCTTTCCTTTGAGGAACCGCTGAGAATAAAAGGCGTTCATTGTGCTTCATTCCTGTTTGGAGACAATCTAAACTGTAAAACACACACACACACACACACACACTCACACACACATAAAGGGTTTGGGAGATTGTCCTCTGAAGTGTGCTCTTGTATCGCAGCCTCAGACACACCATTCATCATTCTGTGGATCATTGCACTTTATCTTCTAAAGCCCATAATAAAACTGACATTGGAGAGGAGACCAAGAAGGAGAAGGAGAAAAGGGAAGAGAAGAGAAGAAGGGGAGTAGGGAGGAAGGGAGGTGTWTAGCCTTCCATGGGTTTACATGTGTGCATGTTAGTGAAGACCAAAGCGGGCCAGATTTTTCTACCTTTGTGTGTAGTGATGAATTTAAGGAGCCTCCATTCTTCATGTTGTCAGGCCTGCTTGTACACACAGCAGTTCAGAGCTGTTTTACCTCACACACACACACACACACACACACACACACACACACACACACACACACACACACACACACTCAGGTAATCTCAGCTCACATGGTCGAGGAACAAGCTTCCAATAAAAAATGTTTAGTGCTGTTTTTTTAATCTCAGCTTTTATTCTGATGAGAACATGTTCCACCAGCAAGTGAGGCTTTCTGCATTCAGTTTATCAAGCACGGTAAATACATTTTCTTTCWAATGCTTGTAGAAACTCTTTTTATATATAGTCCAGTCCTTAAGCTCTTTATTTTCCTCTAAACCTAAAGCAATGTGTAGAAAGTGCTGCGGTCAAGGAATGCTAATTCCTGCATTTTGCGCTTCGAGGCATAAAAATAAAAAATAACGGTTTGTGAAACTCAGGAATCGGTGTTTGGTTTGTCGTCTGCGGGCTGCTGCTGAAGAATTACAGTACAAGATGATGGAGTGATAAGAAGGCGGACTCGCTGTGTTTTTCAGATATAAATTTCTTGTTCTGTAAGGAAATGAAGTCAAAGCGATTTTGTGTGAGTCAACACGATAAGAGGCAGATATTTTATTGCATTTTGTGGAAAAGAAAGCTGGTCATGCCGCTGCTCTTTGAGACTCTGTGTCTTCTTGTTTTTGGTTAAATCAGCTTTAAATAAACATCTTGTGCATGCAAACTGAGGACATTGTTTAGGAAGCTAAATAGTTTTTTTTATCTCAGAGGGTATGAGGACATGATTTGAATTATAGAGCATTTATTGGTACTTTTCTTTTGCAGTAAAAAACAAAATGAACAATTTAAAAAAAGATTTTTGAGCAGAAATTTAAAAGAAGATGTTGGTCATTTGTTCTTCAACATTGAATCAATTCTTTAATATCTTTCATGAGGAGGAACCTTTAGCTGAAAACTATTATTTTGTATCAAATGCATGCATGTTAAAAACAGTATTTATAATATTGATGCCTATAGATTATCAAAAGTAATTTAAAAAATCCTTAATTTTAGTATTATTCCYAAATATTGCCATAAATGTGATTAAACCTCCTCTGTTATATACTGAACCATCTTTCCAGTGATGGTTATATCCTCTTTTTTTTTTGTTTCAAATCATTTAACAAAAGAAAATAATTTGTCCTGAAACATACCAAAATTTTCAGTATGTCAAAACAATGAACATAAAGTTTCTTTTATTTATAATTTTGAACACTGTTTTTATTTTATATTGAACAGAAATACTGAAATATTGTACAAGTACATTGCAGATATCTAAACTTTATTTATTAGGAAAAAGCGAATAACGATAATTGAATTTCAGTTCAAAATATTTCAACTTTACATGTGATTTTGTTTGTTTTTCTTATTTGTGATGGTTAAAAAGAGGAACACAGATACATTCAGGGGGTTTAGAAGACAGTCTTGTTTTTTTTTTTTTCAGCTTAATGACAAATCAGGTCCAACTCTGACGACGACAGTGGCCATGCCTGTGTTCAGCACAAAGAACGAGACGGTGAGTGACGTTTTAGAACTAATTTAAGAAAGAGACAACTAAACTCATTCTTATTGAAGTTTTTTTTCTTTTTTGGACCCAAGTGTTCCACTTGTCTTTTACACTTAGACACTTTTTTGGCTCTGTGACAGCCTTTGCTGCCAGGGCGCATTAAACTTCCATTTTTATTCTTTTTCCAAATGTGTCCGATCGAGCAGTGAGACGAGAAGCAACAGAGCCACAACCGTCCAATAAATACAACGAGTGATTCGGTGTCTGGTTGTTGTTCTTCACACGAGTTGTTAAAAGCTTCAGCAAAAAGACAATTTCTGATTGAATGTGTTGTAATCAATGCCTTACAAAAGACACAAAGCCACAGAAAACTAAAGATAGACTAAGAGACTGAATCTCTGCAGCTTAGTTGAAACAATAAAGACAAAGTAAAAGCTTTCCTCACCGTACTGTATGTGTCCTGTATGTTCCTGTGTGTATTTTCTCTGTGCCTAATGCTCGACTGATCCTAAATGTGAATTCTAGATGAAGTTTTCTGACTCTTTCCATGCAGAAGAATCAGGGTATTCTGTTGGGGGTCGTAGGAACAGACATCCCTCTGCAGGAGCTGATGAAGCTCATCCCAAAACATATGGTACAATTAGCTTTCTTGTTCCAGATTGATGTATTTGTGCAGTTTCTGACTCTGCCTTACATATGTCCCTTTCTGTCTCTAGTTAGGAATCCACGGYTATGCATTTGCCATCACTAACAACGGCTACATCCTGACACATCCAGACCTCAGGCCTTTGGTAACTCACCGTCTTTGCACCTGACCCCTAAGGGTCACAATGTTCCCCGACTTGATCCTGTTTTCCCTTCTGTTTTTTTTTTCAATGCTATATTAATCTGAAATATAAGGACACAGAAACTAATGTGTTATCTGGCTAAGAGGCTACGTGGGCTCGTATAGTCTGTAATCCCACCTTTTCCTTTGATGTATGCATGCAGGGATAAAGGCCACTCATATGGCTGGCTGGCCTGAGATTTCCCAGAGGTAACTTAACACTTGCTGGCAGAAACCACAGCCCCTCGCTCTGGGACCGCTGGTTCCTCAGGAGCCACGGCTGTGCTAGTGGATCTGTGTATGCCAGTGTTAGTGCTACAGCTCTCTGTGTAACTGTGTGTGTTAGTGTGTGTTGGGTCTTTGTGTCTTCTTTGTGGCTGTCGTCGTTGACGTTTCGTGTGGGTCAGAACAAGTTTCACATGTACGCTTTTCTGCTTTGACTTGTCTGAGCGTGGATTTTCTATCAATCACATTAATTGTTTTTAATTTACATGACAGTGTTAATTTCACACATGATTTGGTAAATAATTGCTTTGTAAAAAACATGTATAAATAAATGAATAATAGCATAGACTCCAGTTTCATTTTGTGACATTGAGGCAGCTATTAATTGATGTCCTTCATATCAAGCTCATATATTTAAACAGATATGAGTCACAAGCCAATATTTRTGTCTGTTTTAGCTGAAATGTGTGAGCTCTGTTTAAAATATAGACAGTTGGAAGCAGGAACYCTTTAAAGGGATCGTTAAACTGTACGTGTTGTGTTACTCTGTGCAGTATCAGGAAGGTCAGAAGAGGAGGAAGCCCAATTACAGCAGCGTGGATCTGTCTGAGGTGGAGTGGGAGGACAAAGATGARATTGTACGTGCAAAACACCTCGTCACGAGATGAGAAAAGATGTTTTTGTTTTTAAATTACCTGTCTCTGAGCTGCCTGAGTTTGGAGAAGCAGAGTTAAATTCTGACTAGCCTGATGAGCTAACGACTAGTCCGTTTGAGATCAAGATGAGAATTATTGTGGTTTTAAACCAACTCCAAGCAAAAGAAAGAAAGAAAGAAAGAAAGAAAGAAAGAAAGAAAGAAAGAAAGAAA